ACTGGCTATAACACACACACACACGCACACATAAGATTTACAGTGAGTTACAGTGAGTTACAGTGAGTTACAGTGAGTTACAGCAAGTACGGTGATGATTATGAGTGTGTGACGCAAACTGATTTCATCATTTGATAAAAAACCTGGTTATATAACACACACCCACACACACACACACACGATGTGGGATTGTATGATGCAAATGGCACACGCATCAACAGTCAGAAGAATTCCTTAAAAAAAGGATATCGTACGCACAAAACAAGAAGATTAAAAAAAAATATAAACCCTGCTTTTTCTTTCCAATAAAAGACATGCTGAAATGCAAGAAACTTAAAAGGCATGCAATGCAGGCCTTCGCATCCACGAATGTATGCTACCAGAAAGATAACTCAGATACATTCATGATCAGCGTGTTGGGCAACAAGCTGCCAACGTCCCCCCCCCCCCCCCCCCCCCTATATGGATGTGCAATACGCCAATCAAAACAACGACAGCAAATACAGATGGATGTGGACAGTGTATCTCACACAAAAATGAACATACACACACACGCACACATAAGATTTTCTTTTTTTCTTTTTTGAAGTTTTTTTCTTTTTTTCTTTTTTCTTCTCTTCTTTGTTCATGTGCGTGGATGTGAGAGCATCAGAGTTTTTTTGAGGTGCTGCAATCTTCCAGAGATAGATCTCAGCATAGAGTGATGGCAGACTTCAGCATAATGTTCGCACTTGGACTTTTCTGACAGCATCTGGCTGTAATTGCTATCAGATACATTCTCGTACCGTCTTTCGCCCGAATACAACGCCCGGTCATTATCGCTGTATCTAGACTGGAAGTTGGCCCAAATACAGCTATAATAACTAGACATTCTATTGTGATTAAGACGCGGGAAGATTATGCCCTGCTGATATACTGCCAAGTTGTGAGCTGCAGCAGCACGACTGCCCGCATACTCACACTAGAACTTCTTCAGCTGCACTCTGGACGTATCTAGTGTCAGATGCATCCAGGTCAAAGCGGAATTGCAGCCAGATACATTTAGAAAAGTTCTAGTGTGAGTATGGCCTGACACTCCAACCAACCAGCTTTTCTAATTGCATGAGCACCACAGAAGGCCACATAATCTCAAAATTTGACAAAATTAATTTGTACCGTTTGTGTCCTTCGGGACATCCGTTAAAATTGGAAATGAGACAGAGAAAGAAGATTAGCATGTCTAAATCTACTAAATCAAGAAATGGTCCAAATTTAAAAACGTAAAAAGAAAAAGAAAAAGAGTACCATTTCTCAATCTGTGCGTTCTCAATGTGTGTGTGTGTGTCATCCTGAAAATTGAGCAGTAGATAAATGTCTGATTAGTAATCACTAATTAGTAATAATTTAATAACTAGTAAATACTAGTAATCTACGTTACCGAACGTACACGTACGGGGCCTTTCCGTACGAAACGTACAGACGGGAACCTGTACGCTCCCGTACGACCCGTACGAAAAAAAAAAAAAAAAAAAAAAAAAAAAAAATCCAAAAAATCCGAAAAATATATATGTGATGTAAAATCCCAAGGCAAGCAACATTTGCCTGAGCACCATCTGCAGATTCTTATTAGAATTGGAGAAAAAAAAACAAAAACAGTAAAAAATAAATAAAAAAAGTCGTACGGGCCTTGAGTACGAGTAGCGTACAAGAAATGAGTACAACTTGTACTCCTAGGTGAGTACGAATCGCAACGTAGCTAGTAATTAATAATTATGGCATACTCACACTAGCACTTTCCAAAATGTATCAGACTGCAATTACAGCCACACCCGGATGAATGTGCCCGCGATCATGTCCAGAGCTCAGCGGAAAATGTCCTTAGTCTGAGTACGCCCTTAGTCTTCTGTATATCATTCCCAACTTCCGGGGACGGATCTCCAGAAGGACAAAAGGTAGGGAGGACAAAGGCCACATAGTTTCACATTTGTCTTTTCTTTTTTTGGGGGGGGTGGTGGGACATTTGTCTTTTGCGTGTACATTATCTTGTTTTTTTTCATTCAGTACGAAGTCCATTATTTTGTTTTTTGAACTTTTTTCCTTTCAGTGTGAATTCCATTCCGCACTCCGTACTCCCGAAGGCAGTCTGTTTGAAGATCGAACTCCTTGCCGCCATTAACTTTCACCTCACCTGTCCTTCGGGAGGGACACCCATGAAAATTGGAACGATACAGAGAAGGGTAATTAGCATTGGCCCCTGCGCAAGGATGGCATCATGACACACATAAATCAAGGAATGGAAAAAGAGGGGGGCGGGCGGAGGAGGGGGGAGGGGGGGGGGGAGATATGGAGATCTTCCCGTGTGTCCTTACAAGACATCACAGCCGTTAAAAGTTAAAATTGGAACGCTAGAGAGAGAGAAGGAAGATTAGCATGGCTCCTGCCCAAGTATGACAAGCAAAAATCAAGGTGGTCCAAAGTATTAAAAATAATAAAATAATAATAAAAAAATCACCTCTCTTTTGCCAACTTGTGGTAGTTCTTCACATGTCCAAAGAGAGTCTGCTCAAATTTCTCTCGTGTCCGGCTAACGTCTTCAAAATATTCGCTTCACCCAAGAAGAAGAAGAAGAAGAAGAAGAGTGCCAAACCACCACCACCACCACCATCACCACAGCAGCAGCACCACCACCACCACCACCACCACAACAACAACAACAATAACCACAAAGACAGGCAGCAGAAAAGAACTAAGCTGTCAACTTCACACACAAAACATGGCTCAGTTTTTAACTTTTTATTTATTTATTTATTTAGTTAGTTAGTTAGTTATCCTTCAACCGTATGGTTTTGAACTCCTGAAGATTCTGACGCTTGTCATATAAGTTAAGATATTCAAAAAAAAAAAAAAAAAAAAAAAAGAAGCTTGAAAAAAAGGTGATAATAACTCCTGTATAATCATAGATTTACTACTAAATATTTAGTAATTTACTACTTTGTTGAACTCGTCTCTTTTTCAAATTTTTCAAACAAATCAAAAAAAAAAACAAAGGAATCCCATCATAGTATGATCATATACCATGGCGGTTCTCCTACCCAGCCTAATGCGACCAGCTCACCGGACTTCTTATCTCCTCTTCAATTTTTATTTATATGGCCCTAATGCCTTCAGGATTTTCATGCATGTCTCTAATTCCTTCATGATCTTCATGTATGTCCCTAATGCCTTCATGATTTTTATGTATGTCCCCAATGCCTTCATGGTTTTCATGTATGTCCCTACTGCCTTCATGATTTTCATGTATGTCCCAGTGGTATGAACTACTGCGAAGTGAAGAAGAAATGAGAAGAAGAGTGATCACGGAGTTCCGAAATGAAGAGAGGAAGAGAGGAAGAGAGGAAGAGAGGAAGAGAGGAAGAGAGGAAGAGAAGAAGAGAGAACACAAAAAAACAAAAGACTGGGCTGGAGGTGAAAGTGCACCCCACCACACCCCCACCCCTCGCCCTTGCAGTTATGATAACTTTCACCCCAGTCCATCCCACCCCAGCATGGATATTTTATTATTTTCAATATGATTCATCGACGACCTTTTTTTTTTTTTTTTTTTTTTTTAAGAACCTGGCTCCTTCTATTCTGGGGAGCGTCAGTCTGGTTCCTATTCCACCGGCAAGTCAAAATACATTACAACAATTACCCATCACACACGCTTCCTTCCGTCAGGCCGAAGGACCCCTGATCAGCATTGATTGCTCCACTAGAGGATTGACTGTCAGCTTGCCCTGTCCCTCTCTTTCCTCTCAGATCCGGAGTCCAGATCTGTCAGATAAAGCAATCGATCCTAGAAAGAACCCATCTGTTGACCTTACCCAACCTGGTCCATTCCTTAAGCCACTTCGCCCCCCCTTTGGACGGTAGGTCGTTGTCATTAGACTGTCAGCTCGCCTTGTCCCACTTTTCCTCTCAGCTCTGGAATGCAGATCTGTCAGATCGATCAGTAGACCCTAGAAAGAACACACCCGTTGGCTTTTCCCCCCCTGGTCCTTCCCAAAAGTCATTTCGCCCCCCCTTTGGCCGGTCAACGGTTGCTAGTGGGACCTACACCCTCAGTCTGCAATCTTATCATCAAAATCGTCCGAATTAAGTCTTGGTAGGTGTTAGTAAGCTTCCGGATCTCCGAGATGGGATCCTCCTTGGCGACCCCTGTAGATGCTCCGGAGATGTCAGGCTTGAGTTCCTTTACCACGTCGTCTGCACCCCCTGGGTCATGTTCTGACCTCTTGCAGCCTAAGAGATGTTTAAGCCTTCCGGCGACGTCTGATGTTGGGGATCCCTTTCTGGATTTGAATTATGCCATTGTTTCCAGCATACCAGGTCCTGTCGCAGTTCTCCAATCTTGCCCTCCGCTAGCCAGTTCCTGTAGAATCTTTGCCTCTCCTTGTTCCGCTGTTCTTCGTCTTCGGGCCAGGCGCGCTTGATCTTTCGCCATCTGCACAGGATCTCGGCTTGAATCATTGTTTTAGTTTCTATCCATACTTTCTCCCGTGGGTTGGAGAGTCCTTCAATTGTTCGACTGCATCTCTCCTTCCATATGACCCATAGGGTTACCTTTCTGAYGAGYTCAAACCAGGTCCTCTCAGCCTTCYGAGCCTGATCAGGGATGTTAGTCAAGAGGAGCAGTTGAATRGGTTGTTTGGGGAAGGGGGATGAGAAGAGGGAATCCCAGAGTAAAGACGCTCTCGCCCAATATTCGGATGCTTCTTTACAGAGGACTAGGCAGTGGACTATATCTTCTACCGAGCCTTCAGTACAGACTGCACATAGTTCTGAACTGTCTGGGTCTGTGGTTTTCCGTCTAATGTGTAGCCATTGATTCACCGGCAGGGCTGTGTATACGATCAGCCATTGCAAGCTTCTGATCTTGATTGGTCTGATCAGTCTCTGATGCGTTTGAACTTTTCCCAATGTATTCGTGTGATTTTGTCTGCTTCTTGACCCACGAGGTTCCGCCATCTGTTTTTGATGATTGGGTCAGGATTTTTAGTCTTCAGAGACAATCTGTATCCGAGTTTAACTGAGTAGTCCTGGATCGGGATTTTTGATTCATCAACGACCTTATAAGTTACAAGTTATAACTTAAGAGTATGTATGCAAATTTGGGGGTACATAACTACACAGCCCTCAGCCTCTCACCTTAGCTTCATCTGTTCTTGCTTTCTTGTGCTCACTGCCGCCAAAGCAAAACGCCTTTTCCCCTCGAGTGCGGTTAGGCGCTGCAGCACACCATCAAGCAAGCATCCATGATTCACACTGAGAAACTGAGAAAATCATAAACAAAAGCCCAACAGAAAGCGAACCAACAAGAAAAGGGGGAAAAAAAAAGGAAAGAGGATCAACTATGCAACAAACACAGAGGACCACCCGACTTCACACGGTCATCCTCACTGCCAGTTCTCTCTCTCTCTCTCTCTCTCTCTCTCTCTCTCTCACACACACACACACACACACACACACACACACACACACACACACACCAAACACACACACACACACACACACACACTCTGTTACATGCCCAGTTGGACGATGTATATATATAGCCAAGGATCCACAATGTGATGAAAAGGACTGAATGGACAATGCAGTGCTAGTGGAATCTCAACAAGCAGTGTACATCCTGATACATACAAAAATGGCACTTTGTAGCGCAGTGGAAGACTTGGATATAAGTCCTGACCTGACCGGGACTGACAGGATATCCCATCATACTTCACACATGTGAGAGGAGGAGGAGATACCAAACTGTTGCATACCGTAATGGTGCAAAACAGAACAAGCGACCTCCCATAGTACAAGATAGCGCAGCTGAATGCTAGGATTGAAACGGTATTCACCTGCTAGCAGTAGCGAATGCAGATCCCAGGGCTCGATCCCTAGACTTTACCTTACCTGTGTACATTACCTGCGTCCACCCCGAGAGTTGAACCCGTGACCTGTGTATTCGTAACAGTCGGTAGGCTGTTGTAGGATCCGTAGGTTGTAGGGGTTCGATCTGTAGACCTGTCGGATAGAGGTCTTAGGGAGTTCTAGAAGTCGTAGCTGTAGGATTTCTGAAAGGTCAAGGTCGTAGCTGCTACAGTATTCGAAAGGCCAGGACCACAGACTTCCGGAAGGTCCCAGTAGTGGCCTTTCGAAGTTGGCTCACATCTAGACAGAGGCAAGTGGGCAAGTGGTGAAGTCCACCCTTGCTGAGTCAGCAGTAACAGTCCCAGTCAGTCTTAGTCCAGTCAAGCAAGTACCGTATGGGACTGTGTGCACCACGGGCATGGGAAAGGGGCAGACCAACGAGTTACAGAAGTATAAATCAAGAGGCAGCGCCCAGCCACTCATTCATGCGTAAGCCGTGCGGAAGCGCTGCCACAGCAACTTGTGCGAGGTGGTCTGCAGTGAGCCCGAAGACGAAGTGGGCGAGAAGGAGAGCGGAGCCATAGCGATAGGGGTAGTAGCGGCCATAGCCGCCATAGCTGATAGAGGAGTGTAGTGTGTGTGTGCGTGTGTGTACAGAGTGACGCGTGTGGGATATCCAGGGTGATCCTGTGTGTGTCAACAGCAGAGTTGGGTTGGCGACGAACAGAGAGTTGTACAGGCGCTGTTGCGCCATAGCCGTTTGAAGTGAGCTTGTATCTGAACTGCGTTCTTGGTTACCATATCTCTGAGTTCGGAATGGGCGCTTGTCGCCAGTTTGCTGCGCTACCTGTTTACATGCATGTGAGTTGTGAAAGAAAGCGAGTCTGATTGCAGGATGCCAATGATCAACCCAATCAATATTGCAATGWAGACTAAACATACATCATCATCATTACAAGTTGGGAAGGGGCCTGGCGCTCACACAGGAAGAGTGTGCCAGCCCCAAACATCCACAGACGAAGAGGAGGGGGATTAGACGAAGAAGAGGGGGAAGACGGGAATGTCGTCAACACCAAGTCTTCGGTACAAGTCCCAGATAATCCCTCGTCAAATGTCTGAAGCCCAATGTCGAGTCTGGATCCAAATGTCACCGATCCCTCTCTCTCTCTTAGTCTGCTGATGCAGTGAAGTCAGGTAGCGAGAGGGTGAGGGGGAGATGGTGGGCTGAGAAGAGGAAGAAGAAGATCTCTCTCTCTCTCTCTCTCTCTCTCTCTCTCTCTCTCTCTCTCTCTCTCTCTCTCTCTCTCTCTCTCTCTCTCTCTCTCTCTCATGTGCCAGGTACTAACCTGTGAAGATGGCGCTGTGCTGCAGGTACCTCRACGACGAGCTGGAGCTATGGCGCTGCAGGTAAGTCTCCCTGGCCTCCGCCCAATCTCTATCTCTCTCCAGTGCTACTCTAGCTCCTAATAGCACCCAGCGCTGAAGACTACTGCTAACGCTACTACTCCTACTGCAGCGCTCCTGTTACATGCTGCGCCTGCAACAGGCTGCACGGCAGGCCCGTGTCATTTTCAGCCTGAAAGCCTGAAAACAAGGTCCTACAGGCCCTGTGTCGTTTCAGCCTGAAAGCCTGAAAACCAGGGCCTACAGGCCCTGTCTCGTTTCAGCCTAAAACAGGGCCTTTCCGGCCCTGAACGGAGGGCCATTTTCAGGCCCTCGTAAGATCGACCTGCCCTGAAACGTAGGCACCAGACCAGGGTTTAAGCTCAGGCCATTTTTGGCCTATTTTCAAGACAACCTTTGTTTGAGCTTCAACCCCAGGGTCTGGCACGTTTTGGCATTGGCAAGAGCAGCCTCCTGGACGGGCCAGCACTATATAAGACTGGCCCGCCCTGCAGGCTGCAGGTAGTTCCTAGGTACTTCCCAGGCACTTCACGTGCAGTTCAGGAGGCAGGAGGCAGTCCTCAGGAGTCGGCAGCAGCACTCTGGAGGAGCGCTGCAGGAGTAGTAGTAGCGCTAGCAGTAGTCTTCAGCGCTGGGCGCTAGCAGCATTAGCAGTAGTCTTCAGTGCTGGGCGCTAGCAGCGTTAGCAGTAGTCTTCAGCGCTGGGCGCTAGTAGGAGGTAGGGTAGTACTGGAGGGAGAGAGAGATTGGGCGGAGGCCAGGGAAACTTACCTGCAGCGCCATAGCTCCAGCGTCGTCTTCGAGGTACCTGCAGCACAGCGCCGTCTTCACAGGTTAGTACCTGGCACATGAGAGAGAGAGAGAGAGAGTTCTTCTTCTTCCTCTTCTCAGTCCACCATCTTCCTCTCACCCTCTCACTACCTGACTTCACTGCATCAGCAAACTACGAGAGATCGGGATTGGTGACATTTGGTCCAGACTCTACACAGGGCTGCTCAATCTTATGAGGGCCTGAAAATGGCCCTCCGTTTCAAGCTGAAAAGACTCAGAGCCAACCCTGTTTTAGGCTGAAACGACACAGGGCCTGTAGGCCCTTGTTTTCAGGCTTTCAGGCTGAAACGACACAGGGCCTGTAGGCCCTTGTTTTCAGGCTTTCGGGCTGAAAACGACACGGGCCTGAAAATGGCCCGTGCAGCCTGTTGCAGGCGCAGCATGTAAAAGGAGCGCTGCAGTAGGAGTAGTAGCGTTAGCAGTAGTCTTCAGCGCTGGGCGCTATTAGGAGCTAGAGTAGCACTGGAGGGTCCCGTTTTAGGCTGAAACGACACAGGGCCTGTAGGCCCTTGTTTTCAGGCTTTCAGGCTGAAACGACACAGGGCCTGTAGGCCCTTGTTTTCAGGCTTCTAGGCTGAAAACGACACAGGGCCTGTAGGCCCTTGTTTTCAGGCTTTTAGGCTGAAAACAACACAGGGCCTGAAAATGGCCCTCGTTTCAGGCGCAGCAGGTTGCAGGCGCAGCATGTAACACACACACACACAAAAAAAAAAAAAAAGGGAAAAAAAGCAAACAAAAAAGAGATCGCTCCATGTGGCACAGCCACGTGGAGCGTCTTCTTTTCGATTTCTTATTTTTCCACAAACGGTGACGATTGAGGTATCATCATTGAGCTGGCCGACCCCATGTAATTCACAATTATTCTATTATGTTCATCTGACAGCATCCGGATTCGAACTTCTGTCTGCATTTCAACAGGCCATGGTTGTACCAACTGAGCTACTAGGCCCGTTCGTTGAGGCACGCCTTCAACCCCCTCCCCACATGCCTTCTCCTAACCCTCCCCTCATCTCTCTCTCTCTCTCTCTCTCTCTCTCTCTCTCTCTCTC